AGATGTCACAGGGGAACCCCGATTGTTAAGGTAAACCTACTTCCAAAAGTAGTTAAGCGAAGATAAATTCGAGAACTAGCAACTACAAACCTCATAGTGAAAAATGAATCGAAGTCCCAGGAATGTATTTTGATAAACAATGTTTCACTCTTTGGGTAGTTGAGGTAGGTATTGGTTGTCCAAACTGCCAAACAGTGCAAGAGAGAAATGTATTCGTTGCCATCAAGATTTACAATGTTTTGATAACTCCATGATTAAATGAAAGCTTTATCAATCCAATTCTGATGGCCAAAAAGTGATGTTGAACAGACCCATGACAATTAGGTTACCAGCAATGTCTAAAGGCCTAGTACATGAAAGGCATGACAAACTTCCAATTGTCGCAATTCATTCCAAGCCAAGTGAGTCATACAAAATGCATAAAATCCTCAGTTCCAATTAAGTATACAAAAATCTTTCGAGGGAAAGGCATTATTTCTTAAGAGTTAGAACATAGGCTGCAAATAGAGTTTCATTTTAAAGGTGCTCCTTCTCACAGACCAAACAATGCTGAACAAAAGCTTACTAATTCCATCTTTGTTTTTTTCTTTTAGTTGGGTTAGTTGCTGTTTTCATTGATTCATATAAATATATACAAGTGTAGTTATTTTACAGCTTTATAACCCCTGACAAGTGTAGTTATTATAGAGCTTTATAACCCCTGATTTACGAGTTCAGTACTTCCATAAAATAACAGAATATAGCTCAAATCAGAATGTTCCATGTTTCTCATAGTACATTTCAGAAATGTTGTCGTTACTATAAATGGTAATTGAGATAATTCCTGGGATACTCATTATATGTCTTGTTACCAACTAATTAGGATAATGATTCATTCACCAGTAACAATCCCAAAAGCATATAAACTAATAAACTAGATATGTGTTCCTGATCATTTCTCCATTAAAAGTAAAGTTTAAGAAGTGTTCAATCAATGCATTAATTGCAATTTTAACAATTCAGGGTCATGTATATTAGTGATAACTAGTTATATGCTCCCTGATCATTTCCGCATTATAACTAAAGCATAAGAAGAGTCCAACCAAGCAAAATTGCAATTTTAATGATGCAAAGTTTTATAAATGGAGATTGTGGATGCAAGGGTGCTACTTGCACCCCCATTTCTCCATCCTTATCTCCATCCTTATATATGGCTCACCGAAAGGTTACTTCCCAGCCTCTAGGGGACTCAGGCAGGGTGACCCCCTCTCCCCTTTCCTCTTTGCCATTGCGGCAGAGGTTTTTAGCCAATCAATCTCCCAGATGTTTCTGTCTAGCCGCCTTACTGGGTTCAAAAGCTGCCCTCGGGGGCTGATCATTACCACCTACAGTGTGCAGACGACCCCCTTGTGTTCCTTGGCGCCTCCCCCGGGAATTAGAATCTCTTCGCCTATTTCTCAAGTGCTTCGAATTTTCCACAGGCTTCAAAGTCAACAAGGCCAAGTCCAAGATGATTGGCGTAGCTTTGAGCCCTCAAGAAACTCTCTCCCTGGCCTTGAGCTGGGAATGCCAGGTAGAGGAACTCCCCACCAACTACCTAGGCATGCCCCTTGGCCTGGTCAAACAGAAGAAATGCCAATGGTCTCATATTATCGACAAGGTGGATCACTGCCTCACAGGTTAGAATGGCCGTTTCCTCTCCTTCGCCGGTAGAACTACCCTCATTAAGGTAACCCTCGCCAATACCCCCATGCCGGTGGCGGTTTGTTCCCGCCTGGAGCAGCTTATGAGGAAATTCCTCTAGGCAAGAGACTCCAACTTGAAGAAGTTTCACCTTATTTCCTGGGAGAAAGTTTGCCAACCCAAGCACCTTGGGGGTTTGGGCATCCGGCAATTGAGAAAGAAAAACACAGCTTTGTTGGGGAAAAATGGTGGTGGAGACTGGCTACCCAAGACAACCTTATGTGGATCCAAGTCATCTGAAGCAAATACAGTCTTGACCCCAAATCCTGGCTCCCCTCACCTAGACCTTCGAGTAGGATCTCAGGTGCCTGGAAGTCCTTTTTGATCTCCCTTACCTCCTTCCAACGCCTTATTAGGTTCCATCCTCAGGAGGGTCGCTGCATTCGCTTCTCATTAGACCTTTGGTTGGGACACACCCCTCTTAGAGACCTTTTTCCATCCCTTTTCTCCCTCGCCCTTGACCAGAACATTTCGGCTATCGAGGCTATGCTCCCCTCAGGCTCCTCCAGAGCCTGGACTCCCTCCTTCAGGAGGCTCCTCACAGATTCTGAAACCTCTGAATTCATTATCCTCTTCACTCTCCCCCACTCCTCTTTCTTGGCCATTTCAGGCCCGAATAATGTTATCTGGACCCCCTCCCCCTCAGGTTCATTCTGTCTCCTCCTTTTACAAACAGCTGCTCCTGTCACCTACTTTCCCCCACTCCCCTACCTCTGTTGTGGCCCTGGCCTGATCTTTTATTGCTCCCCCTAGAATTAAAGCCCTCATATGGATTGCCCTCTCTGAAAAAGTCCTTACAGTTGGCCATTTGCAACAGAGAGGTATCCCTATCCCCAACAGGTGCTCCATGTTGCTAGCAGCTGAAGAAACCAACCCCCACCTCTTTCTTCACTGCCACCTCGCTCAACACCTCTGGAGATTGTTACTTCAACACTTCAGATGGCATTGGGTCACCCCCCCCTCCATCCAGGCCCTCTACAAGCTTCACCACGCCTGCCCCTGGCCCAAGGCTGGTAGAATGTTGTGGCAAGCTTCGGTAGCAGCCACGATGTGGGTGATCTGGACAAAAAGAAATGCAAGAATTTTCAGAGGCAACAATGCTCGATCCCGGCTCTTTTCCATAAAATCACGTCTTCGGCTACTTTCTGGGCCTCAAACCACAAGAGGTTTAAGGGCTTCCCCTCCTCCACCTTCATCCCCAATAGGCAATCCATGCTTCTCAACTGTTCTCCTCGTCCTTCCCAGTTCACCCTTTGGTCACCACCCCTTTGGGACAGACCAAACTCAACTTCGTTTGGTGCTCCCTAGACAACCCCAGACCGGCAGGAGCTGAGCTTTCTTCAGGGACCACCTTGGCCTCACGCTGGCTTACTTCTCAACCCACTTGGGCCATGAAGACTCCCAGTCAACTGAAGCTCTGTCCCTCCTAGCAGTCCTCAAAACTTTTTGACCCCCTGTGGGGTCAGCCGCTGATCGTTGAAGGCGGCGCGCAGAACGTCATCTCCTGTGCCTCTGGTTCTTCCCCCTGCCCTGGTACCTCGCCCCAATTTTTGACGAGATTCCTCACCTTTGCATGGATACAGTCGTCTATTGGAGGCATATCTGGTGGGAATCCAACGCCCAAGCGGACACACCGGCTAAGGACGAAGCTCTTCAATCATGATTGGTTTTTTGGGAACACTTTTATTACGCCTAGTGAACCATTGTATCTTTGTATAAGTTTGTACGTTTGTACTCGGTATTCCCCATTTTTTGTATACGGCCACCACTTTGTGGAGTGCCTATTGTACACATCTTTTTGTACACTTCTCTTCTTCAATATAGCACAGTTAACAGTTTAAAAAAAAAAGAAAAAAGAAAAAAAAAGATGCAGGGTCTTATGTCGGCACTGTGGAAGAACACTAGACGGCCTAAGAGATGTGAAAGCCTGGGAGATTGTAGGGTTTGATTTGGTGAATCCTGGGGGTGTATAAAATTAGAAGTGAATACCATGGATTCTAATTCTAGAAGAGTTTAAGGCCCACAAGGAGGAGTATAAGGCCCAGGCCCAAGGTGGGATTCCAAGGGGAATGTCACGCTTTCTTCTGAGAACTTCTTACGTGCATCAACATCTCTTTTACGTATCTTTAGTGGGAGGGAGGAAGCATCACTTGGGGATGTACTTTTTACATGGGAGATACTTTTATTGGAATGAGAAGTACATGTAGACAGAAAGAAAAGAACCTTAGGTTGTAAGACAAATATTCAAAGACTGATTGCTAGAAGGCATGTGGCTGCAAGTAAAAGTTTGAGTTGCTTTAGCTCTGTGAGATGTAACCACCCAGGTTTACTTAACACTCACTGTTTGCCAATGGATGTAGTCATATGCACTGATGAACCACACATGTTTGGCTGTCATTCCATACCTTTTTCTCTACCTCGTTTTTAATGTGCTTACAATATATTATTTGGGATTGTATATTGTAATTCATATATCAGACAAACAAAATGCTAGATGCCATCTTCAGTTCTCCACTATCTGTACTCAGCAGTGGATGAAGGAGATGAGCCTAACCTATTGAGCAAACAATGGCGTGAATTATAACTATAAAGGGAAACTCACACTTCTGATCTACCATTCTAGACAGAAACTTTATCAACATAAAAGATCAATTTTGAACAAATTTAGTGCTTAATGGAGTACAAGGACCTCCTAAAAAAATTTTGGGTTCACTGAGACGAGGAAAGTTCTTAAATCTACTTGCTTCCAACTAATGGTCATTCCCTTTAAGCAGAACTAGGATGTGCTCATAACTCATAAGAGATGGCATAATCAGCAAGTCCTTGCCTTATTCTAAAGGTAACAAAACTCATCCGTCATCAGAAAAGAAAATTCATCAATACAGTGTACTAATGTCCAGAATCTTTAAGCTTCCAACAAAGAAATTTCACAGGCAGTAGCAACAAAAATCAATGAAGCCCTTGAATGAACACAGAGAATATGTTAAAGAAAGTTCAGTTCATGGCAAGATCATTTTTAACAGATTAAAAACAATACATGAACTTTCTGGCTTTCTGCACATTAGTGACAGCCTTCTGTGTAGAAATATGGGAAGGAGAAGGATGGAATATGATATGTACAAGTAATTCTTGCAACCACCACATCATCAAACAATGATAGGAAATGGGCTAAAGATAACATAAAGGTGACATTAAAGCAGATATAATTTGGAACGGTAAGATTTAGCAATGCATTGGACAATACAAGGAACACTACAAAAGGCCTAGCAAAAAGGATCAAATCTCAAGACCAGAAGTACCTATATTAATCCAATATGACAATGCTCATTGAATGGGATCCTAAAAACATATTGAACAAGAACATCATTTTAGATGCTTCGATACCGGTCCAATCAACAAGATGTGCAAAACCTAGATTGGCAAACAAAAACATTATCTCATTAAACAGACCAATTTGACTTTACAAAATGCAGTACCAAAAGGTGATAAAAGCAGCAATTCCACTCAAGATACATAATCTATCAAGCCGGCTCTCATTTCTTATCTTTTCCTCCTTCAACTCACTCTGTGCCTTGGAATACCTATGGCAAGACTCTAGGACCTCACTATAATTCTTGCTTCTACAGCAGCTCAGTGCCTTTTCTAGGACCAGCAAGCTGTTCCTTCCATTCACATGGGAACCTTCCATATCTTCTAACTGCATGCTTAGCTCAGTTATTTTGAGGGTTGTCTGACTACCCTCCCCCTCCCCCTCTCCAGTAGTCACAACCCTACACTTCAATACAAGGATGCACTCTACAACTTGACAAGGAAGGATATCTTTGGCTGGAAGTATGGATCCAAAACGTATCAGGAAATCTTTCTCCGTAGGCCAGTGCCTCTGCCCTCCAAGAGGGGTCCAGCTAGCAAGGTTAGCAGCCTGTTTCATTTTTTTATTGACAATGATCCAACTTAGCCGGATCCCATCACGAAGCTCCTTCCAAAGCTTCCCATCTTTCCTCTCTCTCTCTATGGATGCAATTGGTGGGAGCCCATCGGCGACGGAGAGGGTGATCTCACCTTCATGGTTATCATCTTCATTTGAGTAGCCAATGAGATCAATTCTGAATGGGCAATTGTAGAACCAACCATGGAAATCATCAGAATCAGGGATACCCCATATAACCTTTGAATAAAGTGCTTTATCTTTGTACCTCACATCTACAATAGAAACGAAATCAGAAGGGGAGACCGTGCCGTAATCATCATAGTCACCATAGTAGTCAGCCTCCGACCAATCGAATTCGAATTCGAGATCAGAATCCCACTGAATGACTGGAACGTCCTTGTTGACAATGAGAGGAAAGCAATCAGCGTAAAACTTTCGGAACCCACCGAGAGAATTGATCAAATTACTGACATCCTCTCTCTTGGTTGAAGGCCACAATGAGAAACACACATTCTCCCATATCCTCTCCTCCCTTGAGATTGAGCAAAAATCTGCACATGCACACCCAGCGCTGACTAGAGTTGCGCCATCTAGACGCCTCAGAATGTCATAAAAAAGGTCCATGCTGAGGGAAGTTATGCCCCCAGCCATGGAAACTGACATCTCAACAGATTTCAAATGATTTCCTTTTTTTATTCTTTCTTTTGCTTTTGAGCAAGGGATGTCTACTAATCCATCATATAGTAAAAATGTGAGGCAAGCAATAGATGATCAGGTGATAGGCAATCATATGGAGTCATTTAGGATAACTCACTGGTGCAATGGATATTCCGGAACCACAAGATCAGTTTTGCTTGATAACTGAAAAAAAGAAAGGAACTTTACATCAGAGATGATTCACGTATGCAAGAATCTGTTTAGTCACAAAGTAAGACGTGAAAAGCACTGATCTTTCAAACGTACTAAAACTAGGTGATAAATACCCATAAAAGTTTGCAACTACAAATAATAGTTTACCAACTTCCATACAATATGCAATTCAAATTCCTAAGTTCCTATAAAACTTTCCAATTATGATCCTTCGTCTACTTTCCAGATAAATCATAATTAGAAATTCCAATCACAAATCAAATTCCAACAGATATTCAACACAAACCCACTTCCATCAACTTTTTAATCAACTCACGAATGAAGCTCAATACAAATCCTGACAAGAATTTCCAATCCTAGAAACAGCTCCATCCACTTTCCAAGCATAAAGCAGTCCTTGTAACAATTTCCAACCATTGCTGAGATCTGAACATACTTCAAACGACCAAAGACAAAAGTTTTCCCATTAAAGTTTGGAGCTATAAACTTGATTCCATCAAATTGTTTCAAGAAAAACTTCTCCTACAATCTTAATTCACCAAAAATCCACTTCCATGAACATTTAAGACAGCCCAAGTTCATGAATCAAAACCAATTGCACAATCATATCAGCAGCTCAACTCTGCAACTACCCAACTGCCCCATACCTTTATTCCAGAGTTCATTGGTCATGTAATTTCTACAACCATAAAAAGTTTACGATAACTCCGAGGAGGCCTCAATCACTCCCTAAAAAACAGGATAGATAATCATTTTATCATGGCAGACAATGTATTAACACCAAAAAAAAAAAGCCCAAGATGCGAATACTCCAATAAAATCAAGAGAGACCAATATCGAGTGACATGATCTAACAAACACTCACCTTATACTGAAGAAACCCAGTAAACCTTATCGCAAGAGAGAGGGATCTTAATCGCAGAACCACCCAAAGACGAGAGCAAGAGACTGGAGAAAAAAATGAAGACCCAAACATTAAAATGAAGGAATGCAACGTCAGGTGGTTGAAGAAGTCCCTATCTGAGTCTCTCTCTCTCTTACCTCCAACGTCAGCTGGTTGACGAAGTCTCTCTCTCTCAATCTCCCCCCTGAGGTTTCTTTCTCTCTCTCATGGGGAGTTTCGTTGACCTTTGGTTTCACGGGCCATGCGCGAGTGGAAACGATGTGTCTTTGTCCATTTGATAACTCCAAGTTATTTGTTGTTTTCCATGAGAGTCGTAATTGCGTAAAGCTTTGCATATCACTGGTATTACCACTTATTTAGTGGCGGGATCATGCTTGTTTGTTGGAACCAATTTTAACCTTCATCATTCTAATTCTAATGATTTCCAACCTACCACATAAAAGTTTCAATTTTCAAACGTTACAAAGAGATTGCAGAGCTCGATGAGAGAATTATTAAAGGAACATGTGCCATAATTATTAGGGAATTTACTTAATATCTCTTTTTTGAGTTAAAAGCCATGCCCCATATGCTGTAATATAGGGTTATGGACCTATTTTTATATTTTTTCTAAATTTCTATATGATTAGACTTCCAAACTCCAAATTGAAACTATTAACAAGTCTCTTTGGAAATTAAACTTTTGAATTTTTTTTGAACTTTTTTTTCCCCTTAAACCAATCAGTTCGAATAATGAAATAATATTTATTTTTACACCCACCCCAAATAAAAAAGTTCTTTTGAAAGATTCATCATGCCACCTCTCATTTATTTATTTATTTTTATTTTTTTGAAAATGAAGTGGTCTAGCACATAATGTGTGGACTTACATCTATTCTCCAATAAAGAGGAATGTTGGATGGCTTCATTTTAAACAATGAAGCCAATCTGACACATGGTGTGTCAGACCAGCTTTTGGCCCCCATTAAAGCCTATTCAGTGTATATTATCCCTAGCTGGCTTGATTTTTTTTTTCTTGAGAGAGAAAAGAGGTGAAAAAACCAGGGGTTTAAATAGTATTGGGGGTATGCTAGAAAGTTGTGTTCATTGGGATATCTATAATTTTCCCTTAAAATATTTAATAAATGAGCTAGGCTCAATCTTAGCTTGTCAAGCCTGGTAAGTATTATCGAGGCTTGGCTCTTCTTGACACCCCAGGTGAAAAGCACCAGCGTTCTAAAAGTCAGGTTGGTGAGTCAATCAGTGTTGAGCTAGCAGCCCCCTCGATTGTTTTTTTCAAGTATAAAAAATTGAGAAAATTTTCTAAAAAATTATAGAGAAATTAAATAACCTATATATCAAGTGAAGATTTTTAAAAGAGAAAAGTTTATATAGAGCCTAGGCTCTAAACAATCAAATTAGAGCCTACCTCCAAAATTTCACTAGAAGAGGTTGTTTGATTCCCAAATACCTTCAAATTAATCATCTCGATATCCAGATGCATGGACATGAGAAAAAAATGGATTTCGAGTTTTAAAAATATCGCATCTTATAATGCATTTTGGACCATCAATTTTCAAAATTTTCATAGATCTACTCAATCTACACTATTTTAGAAGCTTTAAATTTTATAATTAAAAATAAAAATATATTTTAAAACTATCACAAAGATTTTCAATATTGAAACATCATTTCTCGATACTATTTGAACTTAGGTTATAATTTGATTGTTTAGAGCCTCGGCTCTATACAAACCATACCCTTTTAAAATACCAAACAGCACTACTCGTAATTGTACATAGGCAGGCATAGCACTTATTGTCACTCCATAAAATTGATCATTTTTAGTACGAATTACTAACCTATTCCCATATTTATACGCGGCTCTGTTGATTGTTTCACAATCTTTCATTTGTATTAATTAATAAAAAGATATAGTGGCCCCGCCCAAAGCACCATACCATACTTTTGGCAGTCCCATTTTCTGCAATTAGCTATTGTTTATTTTTAGATATGCCCATATTTATTTTTTGGACTCTGCAACACAATTGTAGCTGTTGTTTCGAAAAATAAACGGATTTGGGTGTTGGCTTTATTTTTCTTTCTTTTTTTTTCTACTATTGTTAGTTGATAAATTTAAACTATTTGAGTGCACTCACATATAATCGTCAAATCAGTATACTTGAATTATTATTTTTTTCAAAACTTTTTAAAATTAATTTACCTCTTCAATCTTTTCCAATACCCCAACATAATTTCTGCTCCAATACATGTTATGTACTATATTTCATAAACAATATACTTCTAGATTGTATTTTCTTGTCAATCAATATAACGTAAAAGAGATTTAATATATTTGAGATTTAATACTGCTCCAAACTTGACTTTAGATCATTTATTGGATGAATGGTGAGATCTAGAGTTTTAAGAGCTCATATTTTCGTAAATATCTCATGTAATTTGTGGTATTTTAAAACTATTTTTAAATTTTCATATTGTATACTTTTCTCTCTCTTTTTTTTCTTTTTTCTTAGAAAAAAAATCCCATCTTACCTTCTTTTGGAACTTGAACTCCTGAGCCATTGGTCAATTTTTTCAGAGTGACATATTAATTCAAAACTTCATGTTTCAAGCTAGGTCACTTGTATTTTTTTTAGTGAAATATCGATTCAAAACTTCAGTTCTGAATTGGGTCATTTGTCTTTTTTAATAAAAGACCAATTCAAAACATCAAGTTCTTAACCAGGGTCACTTTGTAGTTTTTTTTAGTCAGAAACCATTTGGAACTTCAAGTTTCGATTCGTTCATTCGTATTGTGTGCAGTGATAAATCTGTTCGTAATTTTACCGTTCAGAAAACGATAAATCTGTTCGTAATTTTAGGTCACAAACATGTCACCTCACTCAAAAATAAACATTTTAGGAAATAGGGAGTATGATGTGCTTTCATGCGAGCATACATGGTAAATGTAGCCCCTCAAATAAAATAGTTAGATAAAAAAAATTTATTTTTCATATTTTAAAATAATTTTCTTGTGATTCTAAAGTGGATAAATTTAAAAAAAACAATATGTTACTCAATGGCGCAATTTTCTTTTGATTTTAAATCATGGATTTAAAACCCAAATGCACATAGACAGACTAGAATCGCTTAAGATATGTTTCAAATTCTAAATCCATTTCTAAGACATTTTTGGAAGGGGAGCACACATTTAAACTTTTTCCATCGTTATTTGGTTATGAAATACAATATTTACATTGAAAAAATATTATATAAGGTTGCAACCTTAAAATGTGGAATTAAGGTTGCACCTCAAAAATCCATTAGAAAATATTGATTTAATGTTAAAAAAATCCTCTAATTGATCATCTCGACATCAAGATATATGAATATGAAAAAGAAAAAGATGTCCAAGTAACAAAAATAATGCACTTGCAAGACATATTTAAACCGATCAGTTTCAAGATTTTCATATGTTTATAAATACACTTAATTTGAACTATTTTTTAAGTTTAAATTTTATGATTAGAACTGGAAATATATTTTCAAGCAATCTTAAAAATGTTTTACACCAAAATTACATCTTAGGATAAAAATATAGAGGTACGCCTTAATTAGATTGTTTAAAGTTGCAACCTTATGCAAAATGCACCAATTTACATTTGAATACTTATATTAAAATGGCAAGTTCACTTTTCACTTTATGGTTGATCCATGAGCCAGCCCATGTGCAGGCCTCTTTCGTGTTGAAAATATCTTCGATTAGGTTTTAAGGCTTGCCAAAATATATTACTCCCGAGGAAGTTGAATCTCTATTTACTTCGTTTGGTAAAACCCTACTTAGAATTAATTCTAGGACCTCAAATTTTGGGGATGAAGCCTCTTCAACCATAATTAACTTCAATAATTTTTTTCCCTAATTGTACCTTCCATGCTCTAGAAAAAATAATGTGTCCAGATTTAATACAGACCATCCAATTTTTAAATATTGAAATTGTGCTAGAACACACAAATTTCAAATATATATTTTTAGAACAACATCTAGTAATTCTTAAGTGATTTCCAAAATTTCAGATTGAAAAACAGCATCCCAAGTAGATCTTCTAACTGAGGGAGTAGAAGTAAACTATACCCCCGAAGGACCATTGCATACTTGCTCTCTATATATGGAAAAATATCCATTTACTCTATTGGGTAAACCCCACCTAGAGTTAAATCTATGGCCCCAAGCCCCCAACTTTTGCTAATATAACATCTTCAACCTATAGGTTAACATCAATAAAAAACAATATATCGAGATTGAAAAAAACAATATATCGAGATTGAATAGAAAGTTTTGTAAGCTAGAGGGTACAATTAGGAAATTTCCTAATGACACTCAAAGAGCATAGAGGGTATAAAATAATTTCTTATAAAGTTTTGTAAGCTATACTTTGAGAAGGCATGTGATACTGTTGATTGAGGGGCACTACAAAGTATTATGGTTAAAATGGGTTTTCGTTCAAGGTGGATATTGTGGATTGATGGTTGTCTGTCTTCTACCTATTTTTCAATTTTTGTTAATAGAAAAGCAACTATTTTTTTCAAAGATCGAGAGGATTGAGACAAGGGGACCCTCTTTCACAATTTTTATATATTTTGGTAGCTGAGAGCTTTAATGTCATACTTAACTGATTGACATTGAAAAAGATCATATCAGGTGTTAATATTGGTAATAATGATGTTATAGTATTACATTTATAATATGTTGATGATACCATTATATTATGTGATCCCCCGATGAAAGAAATCAATTGCCTATGGATTTTCTTGAAAAGTGTGGAACTCTCAACTGGAATTAAAGTTAACTTGAGTAAAACCAAGCTCATTGATATTGGCTGTCCGCAAATAGTAGTATCAATAAGGGCACATTTATTAGGTTGTGGGGTTGAGTCTTTACCTTGTACTTATTTAAGAATTCCCTTAGTGGATTCAAGGCTTTAAGATCAATTTGGGATCTGGTGGTGGAATAATTTGACAAGAAACTGGACACTTGGAAAACTAAAACTCTTTCTATAGGGGGGAAGATATACGTTGATTAAATCTACTTTGTTCAACCTCCCAGTATATTTTATGTGCTTATTTAAGATGCTAAAACAAGTTGAAAAACAACTAGAGAGAATTATGAAATTTTTTTTATGGGAAGTTGACATAAGAAGGAAAAGATTTCATCTGGTGAGTTGAAAAAAAGTTTGTAGACCAACGAAGGAGTGATGATTGAGTGTTAGGAGAATGAAACATATGAAATCTGCACTTTTAATAAAATGGTGGTGGAGGATCCATACAC